AACGAGCAGGGTGCAGAGGGGGCATGCAAGGCGATGGGTGGCAGCGTGCAGCCAGCCGTAGTCACCAGGCAAACGAGCAGGGTGCAGAGGGGGCATGCAAGGCACGGGTGGCAGCGTGCAGCCAGCCGTAGTCACCAGGCAAAGGATGAGCGCAGCCCTGGGCTAGGAGGCATGCTGCGGTGTGATCCCCTCCCACGGGGGTCTGTGCTGCTCCCAGCACCTGACCAGTATGACAGGGGAGTGGGGGGAGGCCCTGGGAAGAGAAAGCACCAGGGCCAGGGACCGGCTGGAGAGATGAGGCACAGGGCCTGTCACCTTCCCCCTCAGCCGTGACCCAGCCGGCCCCGACAGGAACGCAGCTCTCTTCAGCCCCTGCCCCTGGTCCCAGGCCCGAAAACTGAGCCTCTTGGCCCTGGCGCGCCCCTCGCCCTCCCTTCCTGGGGACACGGGCCGAGCCCCTCCCGAGCGTGACCCTCGCCCTCCCTTCCCAGGGACACGGGCTGAGCCCCTCCCCCGAGTGTGACCCTCGCCCTCCGTTCCCCACAGGGCTGAGCCCCTCCCCCGAGTGTGACTCTCGCCCTTCCTTACCGGGGACACGGGCTGAGCCCCTCCCCCACGTGCGACCCTCGCCCTCCCTTCCCGGGGACATGGGCCGTGCCCCTCCCCCGAGTAACTCTCGCCCTCCCTTCCCGGGGATATAGGCTGAGCCCTTCACCCTCTGTTCCCGGGGACATGGGCTGAGCCCCTCCCCCGAGCGCGCCCCTCGCCCTCCCTTCCCGGGGACACGGGCCGAGCCCCTCCCCCAAGCGTGACCCTCGCCCTCCCTTCCCGGGGACATGGGCCGTGCCCCTCCCCCGCGCATGACCCTCGCCCTCCCTTCTCCACAGGGCCAAGCCCCTCCCCCGAGCACCCCTTGCCCTCCCTGCCTGGGGACTCCAGCTCCACCCTCCCCAGAAGCAGCCCATCTGGAGGTGCTGGTGCTGGCTCTCGCTGGAGACTTACATGCCACCCTTAGCGCACTGCTCTGTAGCCAGGCTGAGAGGATCCCCATGGCTGTGTCTCCCCGCTTCCCCCCCATGGCTTTTGTTTCGGGACCCCGGACCGAGGGAGGGGCGGAACAGCCCAGCCTTGCCGTGTTTTGCCCTAGTTGGCGACACACCGGTTTGGGGGTCACTGATTTCCACACGTGTTCTCTGGGGCCCTGGGGTTAGATCAGGCCTTTTCCTTGGGACTCATTCGGCCTGCGCCGCCCATTTTCCCACTTGTGGCCACACTTGTCAGAGAACTGGGCCCGGAGGGACTCGAGAGCTCAGCTAGTCCGTGCCCTGCGCCGAGCAGGACGTGCTCCGCTCCCACCCGCCTCTCACAGCTGAGCTCACAATGGGGGGACCTGTCAGCCCAGTTAGCACCACCAGCCCTGCCCGGAGTCTCCTGGCCCAGCCTCCCGGGGCTGAGGGGCAGGGCAGGGAGCTCCCCAGGGCAGTGGCCCTGCACCCCCTGAGGCTGTCGTGGGGCGTGGCTGGGGATGCTGAGAAGGAAATGGGCAGGAGCCCCGGGAATGGGCTCGAGATCCGCAGGCTGGGAGGCAGTGCGAGGGTCTAGTCTAGCCCCCGGCGAGATCAGGATTAGACACCAGTCTGGCCCAGGGCCCCGGGCAGGGGCTTCTGCAGCTGCAGCCCCCAGGCGCCCCGAGCTCGGCAGTGCCCCAGCCCGGCTCACGCTGCCCCTCTCCGCAGTTCGAGGACGAGATCCTGCGCAAGCTGGACAGCGAAGTGGAGGGAGGCCGTGGGGACGAGCAGTACAAGCAGCTCTTCCAGAGCATGTGAGTCTCTGCCCTGCCTGGCCCCACCTCCCATCTGCCCCTGGATGGGGGGTCTGGCCCCTGCTACAGCAGTTCGCACCCCTCCCCACGTGCCCCCGCTGCTCTGGGCTGGAATCGCCCTCAGCAGCTGCCAGCCGGAGCGCTGGAACCAAGGACAGTCTGTTACTGCTTCACTGCCAGCTCCAAACCGGAGCTGCACAGCCAGCGCTCCTGCCCCACAGCGCCCCCCGCAGGGCACCCCGGGGAGCCCCGACCCTCTCCC